GCCAGGGCGGGAGGAGGCCAGGGCAGGAGGAGGCCAGGGCCCCGCCAGGCCAGGGAGGAGGCGGCGGTGTGGAGGAGCTGTGTGCCGATGCGGCGGGGGGGGGCGGGGGGGGGGGGGGGGGCCCGCCGCGGGGGGCCCGCCCGGGCTGCTGCGGCAGCCGCAGAAGTGGTTGGTGGAGCAGGCGGGCAGGGCGGGCTGCGAGCCCAAGGCCGGCAACAACATCGAGATCGTCAGCACCTCGCAGACAGCCAAAGTCATCGTCTCCGTCAAGGACGCCGTGCCCACCATCTTCTGCGGCAAGATCAAGGGCCTGTCGGGGGTCTCCACCAAAAACTTTTCCTTCAAAAGGGACCTGCCCCAGGACTCGGTGCTGCAGTGCTACGACGTGAAGAGCCCGCCCGAGCCCCGTGACAGCACCGAGGCCCTCAGGAAACCTGTCAAAAACAGGAGCGTAAAGCTAAAGAAAATGAACTCACCGGAGATACATATTCTTCCAATCAAGAAGCAACGGCTTGCTGCCTTTTTTCCAAGAAAGTAAATTATGGGTTTTTAGAATTTTAAGATTATTATGAGAAGAAGAAGAAAAAAAAATAATAAGAAAGATGCACTTGGTTTTAAACTCATTTAAAACTTTAAACTATCTTTGTAAGTTATTTTTGGGGGAAGGGGGAGAGGATCGGATGTAGAGTTCCTATAAGCTGGGTTGGTTTTTTTTTCTTTCTTTTTTTTGTTATCGAATTTTGACTTTTCATGGGAAACTGAATAAAAAGCAACCTATTTTTCAAGCAGATTGCACATTTTGCAGCTTTAATGGAGTAATGGATGAGTCAGAGGGGTAAGAGCTATTTTCACTGCCATAAAGTGCTTTGATGATGTAATTCTTCATAATGGTCGGAATGGAAATTTCAAAATAAATGTTTGTACGTGCTAATTGGTTGCAGCATTTTTTTGTCATTTCCGAATTGCTTTCAGTGTACGGAGAAGGTTTGGCAAAAAGTCTGCAAACTGTAAAGCAGCGCAACTGACTTGTGATGAGCCTAAAATGTTAAGAAAAAATAACAGGCTAAGAAGAATGATATTGTCCCACAGCAACGTCGGAGAGCACGGCGCAACAGCCGCTAACGATGCGCCCAAACGAGCTTCCGGAGGAGCGAGAGCGAGCGGTACGGCCCAGTGCACACCTAACGCCAGCTTCGTTGCGAGAAACCCATAGGAAACGGTCTTAAAATATTAAGTAATATTAGCAGTCACTTAAAAGCCTAAAAGTCAGGGAAAGTCGGTTGCTGGGGGAGGCGGGGAAGGAAAAGTCACGTAATTTTTCCCCACCTGACTACAGATATATGGAAAAGTTGTTTATTGTTAGTTTTCTAAGTTTTTTTGATGGCTGAAATCAATGCACATGAAAGAGCAGAACTGTGTAACTTTACCACTCGGCAGTGTACAAGCCGCCCACATCAATGGAGAAATGTGAATGTACAATTAAAATAAAAGTTCTGGTAGGTTACGGTTTTGCAGTTGTGTATGGAAATGAGCTGGAGCTGCATTATTCTACGTCGGCTTTTAAGTTCACGTGGCTCGCTTGTAAAATCCCATCCCGACAGAAGGACGAACATGAGAGCAGGAGAACAATTTTCGGTGGGCACTGCCTTTTTGTCGCTATACCTGTTACATAGAAAAACTTTTTTGCTGTTATTTCAAATGACATGTTCCCAGCACCGCCCCAGTACTGCCTAAATAAAAAAAGCGGTTGTAAACCCATCAGCTGGATGCCGTTGGATGCTAACTCTGCCTTCCTTTACCTAGCTGCGGCCAAGCTACTTCCAAGACTCCTCTTGGGCAGCGTTGGGAAGGTTTTTACAGTTGTTGGTGCAATGAGAAGTTGCCCAAAGAAGCAGCTTCAGGGTTAGAAGTCTAATCACACAGCCTTAGGCACTGGTGTCATGCCAGAATCTGTTGAAACTCTTGATGCCAGCAGACACCAATTCACTGTTCAGAAAATGCCCCTGCCTTAGGAGGTTAGGAAGGGCATGCTGTTTCTCTTTTCCCAGGCTGAAGGATCGCTGCCCTCTTGCTCAAGATGAAAATAGAGGACTTTCTCATAAGTGTGGCATCAAATTCTGTCAAACTCCTGCTTTTTAAGTATTTTTAAAGCCTTTTATTCTTCTCAAAGCTGGCAGAACTGACAATGTTCAGAAGAGCGTAAAGTGTTGATGGTTTCATTAATGTTTAGTCATGTGACTGTATTTTTTTTTAATATTTTTTTCTTAATTGAAAATACTCCGCTACTTTGTTTTGCTCCTTCCAAGAAACCGTGCTGATGAAATGTGTCATCTTCTGGTTATTGCAGTGCAGAGGCTCAGGATTTCGACATCCCTTGGGATGGCCGTCCCAGTTGTCGCTGCCCCACTCTGTTTCAGCTGGGCCTGTTCCAGAGTGTCAAAAACCTTCTGAAAACGTCGTTTTTCCCCAGGGCTGCACAAGATTATTTAAAAAGACAGAGGTCCACAGCAGTAGCTGCTGTCAAGTTTATTTCGCAGTTGACAGAAGCAAGTTCAAAAGAAGTTTCTGGGATTTTTTTAAATTTTTTTTTTTTTAAAGTACGTGCTTCTCACGCCGGCGGTTAGATCTGCTGCACCAACTGCCCTGATCCCCGCCATCCTTGTGCGAGCGTCACCCCCGCAGCATCCTCAGCCGGCGGAGGGAGGGCGTCCCGGCCGCGGGGCAGCCGCCACCGGCAGAGCTGCCCCTGCCGGTGACACTGGCTGCAGGTGCCGAGGGTTTCCCTCCTCTCCTTCGCAGGCCTTTACTGGGAGCTGTTAGCGCTCCCAGGTTAACTTCAGTGCCCAGGCTACCTCCTGGTGCGCTCTGCGCACAGTGCTCTAGTTTAAATGAATTTAAACCACAAGCCCCAGAAAGCCTGACAACAAATTAGGCTAAATCAGCTTATGCCATTATAAACCCATACAACCACTGTCAAAACACCCGATGCCTACGGGCAACTAACTCAGTTTAAAGCCAACTGGTACCGGTTGTAACGGCAGACCAGACCAGCAGCCACAGGGCCGCATCTTTCCCCAGACTGTTACAAGAGTAACTGCAACCTCCCCTCTCTGAAACAGGGCTGAGGAAAAGCAGAGCAGGCTCCGACTATCCTAGCGTCCCCTCTGCCCCCCAGGACCAGCCCCCCTGGATTTACGGGGCCACCTCGAGAAGGGCCAAGCTCCCTGGCACTGCTGGTCACCGCCAATGTCCCCATCACCCTAAGGCGGCACAGGCTGGAGCCAGCTCCCCAGAAATGGATGGGCAGAGCAGACTGGGCTCACCCGCTCCACCTTTTCGTTTGCTTACACTGCATCCTTCTGGGAAGGCTTAGGGCAGCTCCCGCTCCCGCCCCTGCTACCCATTCATGCAAACAGCCTTCAAGTTTTCCACGCACCGGCTCCTCTCCTGATGCTTAACTCTGTTGGGCAAACGACAGTAAGTAGGGACCTCTGCCTCCCACCATCCCTCGTGGGTGAAGCACGAGTCCTACATCCCATCGCCGCGGGGGAGAAGTGGCCACAGAACAAGGTACTTAATTACTCCAAGACTGAGCACTTCCACGTCCTCCTCCTCCTCGTCTCTAGCAGCAATTACAGATTTTGTATATTGGGCCATTAATTTTCTACAGGGCTACATTTTAACTGCTTCTGAAACTTCTGTACGAGAAGGACGCGGAGCTGCACTCGTGATATATGGAGCTTCCATTTCTGGTGGCTGTTAATGGAGACATTAATACCTCTTGCGAAGTTGAAGGGAAAGTCATTAAGCCGTAATGGTAGGAGGAAGATGTTTTACAATGATGGGTATATGCAAGGGAGGGAGAGAGAAAGGAGCAGTGCAGACCCTCAAGGGCAGCCCTTCTTGGCTCCAAGCTTCCCTTGACTTGGACTTCAGGTGTGGTCTTTTATTAGGGGGTGAGTGAGAGGGTTGCAGGGGTGGGTTACCTTCCCCTCCGCTCTCTTCCCCCTGTCGGGCACGGGCTTTGCAGGAAGCCAGACTCCGAATCCGAGGAGGGGAGCAGGGCTGCGCATCCCAGATGAAGGCCACGGTACATGGGGTGGGAGAGCTCAGAGGCACCAGCCTGGGGCTTTCCTCCGCGGGGCAGCCGGTCCCCTTCTCCTGCGCTGCCCACGGCATGGCCTCGGGACCAGGGGTGCGCAGCTAAGGCTTTGGCACACGGAGTTAGCTGTCAGCAACAGAAATTAATCCAAAAGATGAATGAGCAACTTCTCAGCCAGAGAATTTACCTGGACCGGGCAGTTTTTAGGCTGAGAGAACAGACAAGCTGTCAGGTAATAAGCAGACAATTATGAGCACGAGGAAAAGGTGGAGAACAGGGAGATGAAAGCAGGCAGTGGAAGCCGAGGTAAGAGCCACCTCCAGGCCTGTTAGCATCGCTCCTTTATTAAAGCTAGCAAGCGGCCAGCCGGAGAACCAAAGGGAGAAGCAAAGCTGCAGCCCTTGGCCACGAGCAGGTGACAGACAGAGAAAAGGAAGGTGTCAGCTTCAAAGACAAAGCTCCAGGGCCACTCGGCTCAGCGAGAGCGGGAAGAAAGGCGAGCGCTGAGCCCTGGGGGGGGTCACGCTTTCTTGGGCTGAAGGCAGCTGAGAAGCGAGGGCAGGGAGAGACCATAGGCCAAATCACACAGGTGCAGAGCAGGCGAGGCAGCGTGGCCCTCCCGCTCCTTCCCTGGCACGGCAGGCGACAGGGAAGGGCAGCAGCAAACCCGGCCCAGCGGGACGGGGAGGGGAAGGAGAACAGCGAAGGCATCCGTTTCTACATGTCACGGGCCTGAGGTAACGGGCGTGACCGAGGCTCTCCTACCACCCGCGTCCTATCTGCTATAAAGTTGATATGCAAATATGTCTCCCGATCAGTGCCAACTTTTCTTTTTTAACCACTTCTACCCATTTTCTGTTCAGCGCCCCCAGAGCAGCGGGATGATTACACCACCGTGCACATCCTTGCAGAGGTTTGGCCCACAGGGGTTCAAGGAGCAGCTTCACACACTTCTCGCATGCGAAAGCTTTCCGGGGAAGCTGGCTGGCACAGATGTGGCCACCGAGCACCAAAGGGAGCGACTCGGAGAAGCCTGTGCCCCTTCACTTGCACAGAGGCACCTCAGGACAGCGGTCTGACAACAATAAGCGACTCGTTAACAGTCCTCATGAAGAATCTTAGACAATGAAAATAGCATAAAACAACATTGCATAATATCCTGGTGCCAGATGTTTTAGTTTCTTTTTGTGCTCAAGTTTATAAAAACATGCTGAAGGGCTCAAAGACCTTGTTTTCCTCTGGCTGGGATCGGTTCCTGCCTTCCCGAATGCAGCCAGCCTGCCCCTGCAGCATTAACGATGTCAATTTGTGCAATTTGCCTTTCTCACTCACCTTTCACTTTTTTCCCCAATGCTTCCCCCTCCTCTTACTTACAGTTGCATTTCTCTTACACAGTACATTAAGAGTATAACATACTCTTATTGCTAAAGTTTGCAATTCAGAGTGCTGTAGGGCAGTCCTACACACACAAGCAAATCCCCTAATTTTAGTGCGGAAAAGGTATTTTCCACAGCTGTTAAAACCCTGGTATCGCAGCCCTGCTAGGAAAATCCATTCTGTTGTTGAACCATCTGAAACATTTCTTCATGTTTGGGGAGAAAAATTACTAACCGCTAAAATATTTAGCACTGCTTTGTGTCCATATACCCCAAGCTCTCCTAGAATAATAGCGTAACATCCTGGTACTGAAATTGTTAGCATACTTTCAAACTAACAGGGTAAAAGAGCAAACAGCAGGGTACAATCTAATCAAATATCTAGAAGGCAGCACCGTTTTCCAGGTACAACATTAGTTTTCACTGTTCAGAAGTGCACGTTTCCAGTTAACA